GAGGTGGTGTTCATGTCCAACCCAGACTCATAAAAAGAAGGTGACTTCCAAAGCCCCCCAAAGTTTGCTAAATAAATACATAAATATGAACACGAAACCCAGAGCCAGGGTGTGGGGGTTTCCCAGGGTTGGCAGCTCCTCCCAAAATCCCTTTTTTGCTATTTCCACATCAAAACATGGTCTCCCATCCATCCCATGCTTGTCCCTGCGGTCCATGCACTATCTGTCCCCAACCCGTCCCATGCCTCATGGCTCCCAGTGCCAGCAGCAAAGGATTAAAACCTGTCCCAGAAGTGCTAGCTAAAGGCATGGCAAAGACCGTCTCCTCTAGACTAAGAAAATAAATAACTTTTCCAATGTGCAAGGGTTGGTGGACAGAAAGCCGGTGCAGCAAAACATCGAGTGTCCTTCAAGAGGATTAAAAATAAATAAGTGAAGCCTGGCGTTTTCTTGGGAGCACGTTCATCTGCAGCTCTGCCAAGGCAGGCAGGGGGTGATATTTAAATAAAGGCAAAAAAAAAAACCCCAGTCCTAGCGCTGCTCCAGTGAATGCACTCCCTGTGTGTTGGCCTGCCTTCACCCACTGCTTCCATCCTGGCTGGAGAAGATGCTTGTGGTGGTTGGGAAGGAGCCTCTAACACCTTCCCAGGACAAATCATCCCCACTGGGCTTGGGGGGGTTGTTTTCTCTCCCCACTGCAGAGTGGGGATTCGGGGACCCCCCAGAGCAGGTGGGTGTCCGGGATGCCGGGAGCCTCTGGCCCATGGCTCCTTGCATGCTGCTTAATCTCGAGTTTTGTTTCTCCTCTTCAGGAAAAAGAAGCTGCTCTTCTGGGGGGGGCCCAGCAGCATCGGCACTTGGCTTTTATGTGTAATTTTTACCTTAAAAGAAGTGAAGAACCCAGGTCAGTAAGGGGCTCCCAGGCTCTGAGCCCCCCCTGGGCATCCCCCAGCCTGGGGACCCTGGGGAGTGACCCAAGCAAGCCAGAACAGCTCAACACCCAGCACTGGGATGAGGAGCCGCTGCTACCCCCCAGCTAGGTTGTTAAATGCTTTGCTCCAAGGGAATAACAGCTCCAGAATTACATCCAGGCAGTGCTGGGATGGCAGAGGATTTCTCCTCCAGGCAAGCTGCCTGCCAGATGGTGGGGGACCCCACTGCAGCCCCCCCAGGAAGGGATGCTGCCACACCCACTTGCCTGGCAGGGGACAAGCATGTCCCTGTTCCCACAGCTCCCACGACGGTTTTCCATGAGCTCAGGGCTGGCATGGGCACAGACAGAAGTTGCAGGTGGCCAGGTTCTGCGGCCACCCACCAGCAAGTGCAGGAGCCTCCCCCGAACTCCAGAGGCTTTGCCAAGCTGCACAGGGAGCCGAGGCTGCCCACCCTGCTGCCAGCCCCTGCCTGCCCTGTCTTGCCATGCTGCCAGACCCTGCCCACCCGACCCTGCCCACCCCGGCTGCCTGTGGCAGAGCTGCTCCCTCCCCGGGGACTCACAGTGCAGGACGGCTGCATCCAGGGCTCCCCGTCCACCTGCATGGGCAGCAGCTTGGACGTCCTGCAAGGTGCAAAAAGAGGGAACACAGGGTGACAGAGGCACCAGCTTTCACCATCACAGGCGCTCAGCTGGGACGGGGCCACATACCTGATGGTAACAGACGAACACTGGGCCAGTCTCTTCCCAGCGCTCTTCAGCCCCGTGTAGATCTGCCCCATCTCCATCGCGCCCTCCAGCCCCACCACCTCCAGGAGGTGATCGCTGAGGTCTGCAAGAGAGAGGGATCCAAGTCAGTCACCCTGTCCCCAGCGATCCCCTGCCTGGTGCCATCATCCAAAACATCAGGGCCAGCACAGTGTGGCTGGTGGCATAATGGGGATGCATCATGATGTCCTCCATGCCCCGAGATCAGCGAGCTGGGTGTTTGCAGCATTGGGCAATGCTGCTGTCCAAAATCCCTGGAGCAAAAATACTCCTTATCTGAAACAGTAACAGGTCCTGCGTGGCTGCAGGGTGGCAGCCCAGATCCCCACCAGCTCTTTGACTGCTTGTTTGCAGTGTTCTATGAAATCGTGGAAGAACCCCACCTCCCCTGGGTGCCCTGGGGTGCTGTGGCCCCTTGGGAGCTGGAATACATGGGGAAATCCTCCCCAGGAAGGTTTTACTCAAATCCCAGGACATTGCCCTTTTTTCCAGCTCCTCCTGCTCTTCTGGGCTCTTCTGGGCTGCTCTTCTGGTGCCCGACACTGGCCAACTCACTCCGTCTCTCATTCCATTCAGGGTCCTCTTTCACCCCTGGTGGACCCCCCCCAGGAGAAGTCCCCCATGCCCCCTGATGCCCTCCTGCCCACCTGCAAGTGGGGATGTGCCCAGGGGACCGACCCCACTGCCTCTCGCCACTTTTGGAACAGGCCTTTGCTCTGCCCCACTCTCTGCTGCCTGTTCCCATGAGCTTGCCCGGCGAGGGACAGCCGGTTACAGCCTGGGAAAGTTGGTGACACCGCCATCCTGGCAGCCATGTGGCAGGGGTGCTGTTTCCCACCCCAGTCCCAGGCTGCGGGAGGTGCCAGGTGGAAAATAGGGGTACTTTGCCTATTTTGCTGGCTGCTTTCTAACCCACTGCTCTCTGCTGGGGAACCCTGCTGGCTCTTTGGGCTGCCTGCACCCTGCCCGTGCCCATGGGGATGGCTCTGGTGGCCGCAGCAGCGGGTGTGAGGTGCTGGCCAGGGCACAGCACGGGTACCGTGCTGTTCCCAACACCCCCCAGCCAGGCTGGCAGCACTGTGGCAGAGCCTGGGAAGATGCTTACAAAAGCCATTGGTGCCAGATCTGCAGCTCCACTTCCTACTCCTCCTCTGCAGCAACGGCGCCTGGCACTGCAGCGGCTTGCCTGCCAGCCCCGCAGGACCCAGGAGGCTGCGCAGCCACATGCCCACAGGTGATGGCTCCCATCCAGGCACCCCTCTGAGCTGTGACCCCCGGAGGGTGGGAGCAGAGGTGGCTGAGCACGGCATGGGAGCCACGTCCTCTGGCCACCATGGCATGGCCTAACCAGCCCTGAGAAATGTGGTGCTGGGCCATACCCAGGCGGGCATAGCCACCCCCCTTCACCAGCTTGGACAGATCGCTCTTGGGGTCACCCCAGCACCCCAAAAGACAGTGAGCCAATAGCAACCCCTCCAGCGCTGTTGCTCCAGCGCCACGTGTACTAAGCTGTGGCCAGAACTGGTGGCTGCCCAGCTCCCCTGTGCTAACCCCGCTGACCCCATGCACCCCACCAACGCTGATCACCACCAGGCCCCACCGCTCACCCTGCACACAGAACTTGAGCTCCTTGGTGTCAGTGACCACCGTGGCGTGCAGCTTCTCTGGCGCTTTCTTGCCCAGCCGGTTGTAACTGCGCTGCTTCTTGGTCTCGCCCCAGAGATTGGAGCCGCCATACATGCTGGGGATGTTGAGGACGGCGATGCCCTCCAGGGACGTGTTGCTCAGGTCTAGCAGGGTCCCGTCGCACTGCCGGGCACAGGGGCAGCATCAGGCCATGGGGTTGGGGGAAGCTGGTGCCTGGCACTGCAGAGCCTCGCCTCCTCTCCCTGCCTGCATGCCGAAGGAGCAGGGCTCCCCAAGCGTGGCATGCCACTGGGTGGTGCCCAGAGCAAACCTGCCCCCGGCGTGGCTGGGGCTGGAGGTGCGAACAAATACTCCCTGGCTTTGCTTTTCTAGGGCTAACCACCACTTCCCCTTCCTTGTGCTGCTTTCCCCTTTATTTCAATATGAATTTTACTACATGTCCAAGACAGCAGTTTTGAAAAGTGAATTTCCTACGGGAGCTCATAAAACTTCAGCTGGGCTCGGTTCTGCAACCCAAAATAGGATGCAATACCACCTCAGCTCTGGAGTGACCTCGATCCAAGCATCTCCACTACACGCTTCCCCACCTCCCCTTGTTCAAATTGACCCCAAAGAATCAGAAAGTTTGGCTTCCCAAAAACTAACTCAAACCAGTTTGTCTTCAAGTGCAATTTGGAAACTAGAAATGAGGCTGGAAGGAAATGATAGGAAAGGTGTCAGAGGAAAAAATGTCCGTTTTTGGAGAGAAAACTGCAAGGCAGCGCACAGAACTGGTATCCCGGGCTTTGCTGTCATACAGCAGGACTGCCCCAGCTGAAAATTCCCTGTAAAAGGTAAAATATCTGTTGCTTGTGGCTTTTCCACAGGACTGGAAGCAGTAGCCATGGAAATGCATTTCTTAACTTCAGGTCTTCTCATTCTCATGCTACCCAGACGACACTTGATCCCTTTTCTAGATACCTCTGGAGGAAGCAGCCACTTTCCCATTCAACTGTATTTTTGCTAGAGCATTTGTATTTTCCTTTACACATCTGTCCTCTACCTGCCATGCTATGCTTCAGCAAACACCAGCACATTATTTCCTTGCATTTTGGAGATGCAATGGCATTTCTGCCCTCTCTTGCTTTGCTGAGAGGAATGCGAATGGGCTGATGAACCCCTGCTGCTGCTTTGACTCCAGTTGTTTTCCTCTAGCAAAGAGTGAAGGTCCTGAGCTTATTTTTAATACCTTGTCGGTAAGCGCTGAGCACGCCAGCCACACATATGCGGAGCTGGGCATGGACACGAGCAAGCATCTCTGTATGTTCAGATCTGCTCTGCCTCCCCTGAGGATCCAAGATCTTATTTTTAGCCTTGCATTGAAAGCGAAAGGCAGGAATCTTCTGGGTTTGGGAGTGAAGAACTGTCTCTCCAAGGCTGGCAAAGGATGTAAATCCTTTTGTTCTCAATACATCTTAATGATATTATGATTTGTAGGAACAGAAAAGACCCTAACGCTCTGAGCAGCGGATACCAAGCAAGAGGGCTCTGAGTCCTCACGGGATGGACAACACATCCCATACCTGGCTGAGCCCAGCACCACTCCTGACTGCAGGCACCTTTCCTGCCTGCCTGCGAGGCGACGGGTAGGGACCTCGCTGCAGTGGGATAGGAGCGAGTCAGCTGTGGGACTTCCAGGGGTGCTGCAGGAGTTTGTTCCTGCCTGGGGGCATGTAGGGTGGGCAGGACCATGGCTGCCCATGCCTGCCCACACACATGCATGCAGGGAGCGACCTCTCCCTGTGTAGCCCTCCCCTGTTAGCACGCCAGCGAGCTACAATGGGCTCTTTGAGCAGAGGCAGCTGACGGTGCGCTGGCAGCGATGCTGGAAGTAGAAATTTGCAGCTGGGGAAAAAGCAAATTCATTTCCAGGAGCTGTAGGGGAATGAGTGCCAATTTCCAAAACAAAACTGCCATTTCTCTGCAAGTCTGACAGTTGCCTGGGAGCTGGAGGGAGGACAGGCTGCCGCTTTCAACTTCAAATACAGTGGGATTAACGCTTTCCTGCTGGTGCAGTGCAGGACACGGACTTTATCTGCCCTGGGACGCTGGCGCATGGCTGGTGAAGGGGAAGAGATGGCTGTGCCCCTGCTCCTGCCCCTTTCCACCAGCTGCTGAGGGCACAGCTACCCGCTTCGGGCTTTGGGAAGGGCTGAAACTCCCTGTGTAGAAACAGGCTTCAAAGTCCCTCTGCCCACAGCCGCACGCGACGCACCACCAGCTCCCCAGGCTCTACCTGCTCTCTGCCTGCTCAGGCAGGTGCTACCCTCTGCCAGCGACCCTGTGCCCACCGCCTGTTCAGACCCATGTTGGCCCTTTGCAGCAAGCGACAGTTTTTTCCCCTCGCCTTCAAGCTTGAGTTATAAAAGGGTCGTTTATCCAGAGATAAAGAGAGGTGGAAGTTTACAGCAAAGCACGGCCCAAAGCCCCCAGCATGAGCGGAGAAATGACAGCACTCTTAGCAACCGCAGGCCCTCCTCCCCGTTCTAATTAAAGGCTGTTTCCATGTCATCCAACAAGGGCTGGGAGCAGACGTGGAGTTTACAGAGAGAATATTCCAGGCACGCTCTCGAATACAGCTGGAAGCAGGGGAAAAATACAGGGCTATTCTTCTGCCTGCAGCTGGCCAGCTTTGCAGCAAGCGCCGCATGGTGGAAGA